AATGGGAATGACGTGCCACCTTGTCCATGCCATGAAAGCACAACTTACTGTCCTTGGCTTTATGAAGTGCTCCCTCCATGCCACCTATTCAGCCTTCTCTGCAGAAGCAACTTAATTCCAAATCAAGAAGGAGGAACATCATCTTTGGCGACCTAACCTGGAACAGTCTGATTGAGCAATCATTATACCCTACTCTTTCAGTAATGATGCTAGAGCTTGTTCCCATCAAGCAAATGGTAAACGAACCCTACATAACCAGACAGTTATAACAAGTTCAGATTCTAATTTTTGCCTTCCCAAAACTTTACACCAACCAGAACTGCAAAAAGAGCTCAAGTGATTCCAAACAAGAGTAAACTGTCAGGCATATTTTTCTCCTGGTGGAAGTAAAACACTGGCCATACCCTTCTCATACATTAATAAATCTACCATAATTTCTTTTCCACTTTGCCCCGTGCTCATAAGACCATCTATTGGCAACATCCTCTCCTTGACTTCACTTAGAGTACCTGCAGCCAGCTATGCGACCTGATAGCAAACTCAAAGGAACTCACTTCTAACACAAGGATATGGACAGCACCCTCCAGGGCCTTCTGTGTTGGCTCTGAGCAGCATTGCGTCCAGCTAACAAATGCGGGGCTACCGTAAACACTGTTCAACAGCAACCGATTCCTTTTTTACCTGACTGCGATGATGTACAATTTTACATTATTGCAGATAGTCCCACGTGTTGATAGTGTACTATGAGAGGGAACATGAGAGGAACCTGTTCCTCAGTCATTCACTCTGTCCTCAAATATTCTTCTAGTTTTCTACAGAAACATGGGATAGGCATGAGGAAGCTCTGTGCTGTATTTTAGTGCAGATGCACTCAGACAGGCTGCTAGATCATCTCATCTGGGTTCCCTTTCCCACAAAAGGTTGGACCAGATGATCTTTCAAGGTCCCTTCCAACTTGGGCTACTCTGCAATTCTGTGAAAACAGAGCTGTAAAGACACAGTAAGTATATGAAGCAATGGAGAAGGGCTGAACTGAAGAGACCCCGGAAGAAGACGAAAAGAAATGCTGCGGTAAAACTGAGAAACAAAACTATTTAAAACCGAAAACAGAAGACACTTTTCACTGTGAAAGAAGAAATCACCGAACTAAAGACAGAAGTAAGCAACTCTCCCATTTATACAGGCTGGTTAATTTAGAAGTCAAACAAAAGAAAAGAGCTGAACAGAAGAAGCACGGTGAGCTTTGTTAAGGAATGAGCAAGAATGTCTTCAGAAAATAGTATTTGATTGCTTTCCCCGAAATAAGGCAATGCAGACCTCAGAATCTGGTCAGTTTTCATTCAGTTTGTAAAACTAAGATGGCTGCAGCAGAAAGTATTTTCAGCCTCTGCTGTCAGCATCAGTACAAGCTGGGATTTTCCTTTTTGACAGTCATTCATGGAACTGCAGCATACTCTCTGAGAGCTTACTGCGAGCGTGTTTGACAAGAAGTAGTAGTAAGCAGCTGAATACATGAGAGCAGACCATTTTCAGCTCTAATGAAAACTGATGACTAAGTCCTGAATCACCAGCCACAAAACCCTTGCACTAGCAAGGGGATACAGACTAAAAAGAAGAAATTTAGTAATAACATGTGGTGGAATATTAGTAAAAAGACAAAACTATCACACACTCATTCACACTCCCTACTAAAACATTTTTTTTCTGCATGATGCCACATGTGAATGTAAGGGCTTGCAATCCAGTTCCTCTTCCTTACTTCAGATACTTGTGTCCTCCTGGTATGGACTGGTCCCAAGTTCTAATCCCATTTCAACAGTGACCTTTCTACTGACCTCTCCTGTAAAATCTGCCTTCAAAAACAAATCAACATTTTACTTTAGTTTTATTACTTCCCCATCTCCCCCAGTATTATTTCAGGGAGTTGCGACAAACTTCCAATAGTTACTCTGAAAACAGCAAGGAAATGAAAAGTACTAAGAAGATGTAAGTAACTTCTAATAATGAAATATTACCCAATTTCCTTCAGGCCCCTGAGAGAGTCAGCCTGGACATTTACCCACAAGTCACTCATCTTTGGATTGTGACTATGGCAAAATACTCTAGAGGTGGAAAGAGCTGTTTTGGCATCCAATCTTATCTAGCTACGAGTACGGAGTTATACAGCAACTAATGTTTTGTCAAATTAAGTTGTATCACAAGTAACTAAGGTCTCCACTACTCTTAGCCTGGGATACTGTCACAGTCTAAGCAGTTTAATTATCAGAAAACATTTCCCCCTTGTGTTTTCACCCAGAGGTCAGCCCAGTATTTTCTATTACTCTTGCAAGTTAATTTAATCTTTATAAACTCCACGTTGTGTGCATCCTTTCAATATTTGTACGTGCTCAAGTAGTAGAGTAGTTTATTATAACAAAAATAATAATTACGATGAAGACTGGATTTGAAAAGCAGGTAGTATAGCAGGATTCAGAAGCCCTTAAAAGAAGAGAAAGGGCATGCAGGGAAATAAACTGTCTCATCCACTGAAGGGGTGTTTTTTCAAGTGACAGAGCTTTCACAACTAGAAAGCTGACTAGGTCAGAGAAAGAAACAGCCTGAATCACTTCCATTTCACATGATACAGTTATCATAGAACAGAATCATAGAATGGTTAGGATTGGAAGGGACCTTAAAGATCATCTAGTTCCAACCCCCCTGCCATCAGCAGGGACACCTTCCACTAGACCAGGTTGCTCAAAGCCTCATCCAGCCTGGTCTTAAACACTTCCAGGGAGGGGGCATCCATCAACTTCCTTGGGCAACCTGTTCCAGTGTCTGACCACCCTCACAGTGAAGAATTTCTTCCTAATATCTAATCTAAACCTCCCCTCTTTCAGTTTAAACCCATTTCCCCTTGTTCTGTCATTAACTGCCCTTAAACTCCAGTTGTTCTGGAGTAGGAAGGTACAACAGATTTTCTTGCTTCTACTTATTCCTCATCCAGGTTCTTCTCACCTCCATCCCAAAGCACCACCACTCAAGAGACTTCATGTTCTCTGCGATACAACACGTCCATTTTCCACTACCACAACCTGGTATTTCAGCTGTTAGATACACTGACTGTGAATCTCACCTTGTTACACTTTCATCCACATTTTCATTCTTCAGAAGTTCGTAACTCATGCGAACTTCAGGCTGGGAAATCTCCTTATTTCAAAAGGAGAGCTGTCCATACGTGTGGACAAATTCACGCAGTTACACACTCACACTTGTGGCAACTCTGCCAAGAAGCATGCATGGAAAATATGACAGGATTACCTGTGAGATTAGCTGCCATCTCTTCAGCGGTCTGACACAGCCTCAGCCCTTGTTTTAGGGGACCTTCTGAGTCCACATACTGACGGCGCTTGAGGTAGCAGGACACTGCCATCTGAATCTGTTCTGTGCGTACGCGTTTCATGACCTTAAGAGAGAAGAAAGAGATGATGGGGCTCTTACTGTGGGCTCTTATATGCTAATACTGATAGAGACCAAACAGTTCAGTATTTTCATTGCTTGTCAAACAACTTCATTATTGAAGTACGAAGCAAAACCTACAGGCATGTGCCTCTCAGTACTAATGTGTAATTAGCCACTTTGAATCAGATCCACAAAGATATTTTCCTGCCTAATTCTACTAATTTCACTGAGGACTCCCAACTACTGCTGAGGATTCTGAACTAAAACTGCACTGGTGAGCTGAAGTATCTGATTTTGTTAAAAATTAACTCATAAAAAGGTACTGTTTCTCCCCCTTGCTTTTTTACAGTAGCCATTTGGGTATTCTTCAGTCATTTTCTGATTCCTCTGCATGACCAACAATAAAATGACAGCAGATGAGTTAAGGGAATGAGAAATTAATATACAGGAAGAAAATTTCATAATCATAATGCTTTAAATAGCACACCTATTTTACCTATTTGAGGAGTTCAAGAAGCAATAGCTTATTGCCTGAACCTAAAGGTTAAAGCCACAGTTCTAGCACTTCAGTCAGGTAAGTCCCCAGAAAAAAAAAAAAAACCAAAACAGGGAAACTAAAAACAAAAGCAGAGCCTTCTGCCTGTTTCACCTGCCCCCATCTATCTACACATCCCTCCTACCAAAGTTAAAAAAAAAAAATCCTTTGACGTTTCCTTTATCTAAATTTTGAAAGCCATCCCCACAAACGCTACTTGGTAGCATCTCAGTACCTGAGATGGAGCCTGATGCTAGCCTTGAAGCCTCTGGCTTGTAATAGCAGAACCTCAGTAAGATGAATGCAACAGCTCCCTTGCTATTTGAGCAGTCCCTGACTGTCACCAATCCTTTGCAATAGCCATCAATTTTACACAGATGTTTAGATAACCTAAAAGGCTTTAAATCAAGCAGAACTAAGCAACAGTTTTATTCCACCAGAATAACAGCCACAGGCTACCTCAAGATAGTTCTGCCCCTTGCAGCCCCACTGCCACAAGACCTGTGTACATTTTTACAAGTGCTCTTGCTTTCTGGTTTGAGTACCTAAATCCAATGAAACAACTTTTCAGAGAGGCAGACAAGGATGCCCATTCCTCTCTCTTGTAAGAACTGTATTTCTAACAAAATGACAGCTTTAAAAATGTGATCATAAACAAGTCTTTTCTAATATCCATACACACTTTAGTGTTTATCACAGTTGTTAGAACAATAAACCCTCTGTGGAGTCCCAAACAGATGGCAAAAAAACCCCAGCAAAAGTTACTTTAAACAGGTATGTGGAATTGCAAACCCATATGCTCTGGGGAAATCCTTAAAAAGATTTCCATTTGTTCTCACAGGTGAAATAACTGTTGAGGATGGGGAAGGGGCATCAACAGGTGTGGAGTTTTCAAAGTATTTCCAGATAGACCTATTAAAATCATGGGTTTCACCCACCATTTTATCCACTCCAAAAGCAAACTTCCTTTTCATCTTCCTTGCAATTTAAAAAGTTACATTTCAGACTTACACTGTCTCAAACAGAACACTTTTTCTGCTGCACAAAACTGTAGGGAAGGCAGAATGCTAATGAAGACTGTGAAGAAGGGTGGACATCAGGATGGGCTAGCACCTTAGCACCCTCCTGAACTAAGCTTCATAATGTATTCCACTGCCATTCTGCATTTCAGCCAGCAGTGTGGAGTCATGTACAACTGACGTGCCCAGGTCCACACTAACACCTCTGCACACAGTCTGCCATACAGCTTAGCTTTGGGTAGCAACTTAACTGTATTTGAGATGGTCTCACAGATGCTTATTTCAGGTCTAGAAACCATTTTGGTGAGTTTGTGTCTAGATTATTGTATCTGGCTTATAATCCAAAAGAAACTCACTCCCAAAATGGCATGGAACAGACTCAACTAAATGTTTCTGAAGTGGTTTAGCCAGTCAAAAGTGTGAAAATTGGCCTCAAGTCTGTAGTTCAATTGCAAAGAGAGAACATCCAGAAATAGCCCTGCCCATACTTTTTTGCTTCAGTTACAGAATCAATTTGCACTAGGTTAGATTTTGTGAGAAAACCCTTACTCGTTATGGCACAGCATGCACATACAGGTGATTCCTCAGGAACTCATAATGGATGGGAGAAACTGAAAACTGGTGTGTGAAAGATGCAGAACTCCAGAGGACCCTTTGACATGACAGTGGCAAACACGAAGAGCACCGAGATCAGCTTTTTCAAGCGGCTGAACAAGCAGATGACCAACAGAGGAAATGGTAAATATTAAGTGATAGGCCAAAAAAGCAGTAGGTTACCCAGTAGTCTCAAATTTTAACATCAGGATTGGACATTTTAGCAGTAAGAGAGAAGGGCCTGGGAAAGGAGCAGTCGTTGGCAGCTGATTCAAGTCCAAGCTTTTTCAGAGCTTTGGGGATAACAGGGAAGCCCCAGTTTCTCCATCTGAGATGAGCGAAGTGGTGTCTGCAGCTGCTTCACGCAACCTGGACAGTTTCTGGCTCCCTTCAGGTACCTGGTGTTCCCCTCCCAGCAGCCACAGCAGCAGGTGTTACAAGCAGTATCTTTTTCCCCTACTCCCAGGTGACAGAGTAGGAACTACCTTACAAGAAACGCATCTTCACCAAGGAACACGCGTTGGCATCAGACATGCTGTCACCCCTACTTTCATTTCAGGCCTTTGTTTCTTCATTCACTTTGCCTTTATACTTCACCCTCAGCAAAGAGCAACGTCACAGGAGCAGCGTTCGTGAAAAGTGCAAGAAGAGCAAAACCAACATTCCTACAAATATTCTTTATCAAGCCCTCAAAATTAGAGTACATCATAAAACAAAAGATAAGGGTGGCCTGCCAAAATGCCTCTAGCTGGCTTCAAGCTGAGCCAGTTCACAACAGGTCAATGATGCAGAATTTAAAGGCAAAAAAGGACAAGCTTGCCATTTTAATCTCTAATCAATTTTAAGACTCTAGCTCTCATCACTGAAGATAATCTCCAAAATATGAAACAAACTGCAAGCACACAGCATTCCCTGTCCACGCCTGCAGAAGGCTTGAAACAATTGTTCAGAAGTCCCAGCTGCCTCGTTCTTCTCAAACAGCCAGAGAGAACAATAAATACCAATGCCATTAACTATTTTTACTGATAAGTGAAATACATAAGGAGAGAGAGAGAAGAAAGATCCCCTCAGGAGCCTGCACAGCCACCATACAGCGTCTTCTGCAGGGTCATAAATTAGAGCATTTAAAAAAGAAAAAAGGGATATTAGGTTAATCCTTTTTGAGGAACCAAAATCACTGAAGAAACCCAAAACCCAGAGGAGAGGCTGATCATACAAAACACATGACAAATTCCTCTTTCCTAGAAGACCTGGAAATTAGCTGTGTACTAAACACTGGGCCAAGGAAATTTCCTGCCTATGCTACATCTCAGGTACAGATTTAGGCAGGTTCCACAGCCTTGAAATATTACCAGTACAGATAAACGAAAAAGAGCTTGAAAACTAGTGTTGGAAATGCTGCTTTAAAAGACTCTGTCTTATGTCTTGACTCTGAGATGGCAGCCTCTGCCTTCCAACAGACTGAGGAAAGACCTGTGAGCATCAGAGAAGAACCAAGGACAAGCAATCTTAAAAAAATGAAAAATAAAATGAAAACAACCCACAGAAGCACATTTTCAATGTTCTCTACTGAGAACTGTGTCTCAGTTGTGGACAGAGAAGTACCATTTTTTTTATCCCTTATCACAACAGGTGCAATTGGAAGTTTACCAACAATACTAAATCACATAATTTTTAATTTTGTGACATTAAGTTAATCTAAGACGTACAAAATTTCAGAATGAACAAGATAAGGATAAACTGATATGAAGCTAACTGTGAACCTAGAGCTGAGGGACTTCACACATGCATCAGCTCCAATCTGGAAAAACAGGCAAGTACAGGTGACAAGTGACATGGAGAGGCAGGAGGGGTGGTGCAAAACAGGAGAAGTGCTGCAGAAGCAGGGCTACCGAGAATGCTTTCGCCTGCACAGAGGGAGAGAGGAAACATCTGTGATTTTAAAAGAGCCTGCATCCATTTGCATTGGAACTAGATTTGGCTCACCCTCCACAGATTAAGCTTCGCCAATTCCACAGTCTTTTGGGTTGGTCTTTTTGTTTTGGTTTGGTTTGTTTTCCCCCCCCAAAGACAGAGCCAAACATCGCGCTTCGCCCGTCGGATCTCCTGCGCGTTACCTGGGCAGGACACGCTGCTCTCCCTCCCTCCCTC